TGAGTCTTCAAGAAGGGAAAGTTTTCTAAACCTCGCTGCTGTTACATAAGCTGTAGGAGGCATGATTGGCACAATCGGAAGATCAAGAGATGTTCGCGCAAGTTTGTCAGCCATCTCGTTTATAAATATACTACGATGGCCTGGCACCCATATCATTCGCACTAGACGGATGTTTGCTGGGATTAATGATTTAAACGTCTCTAGTATGCTGATGTCAACGACGATGATAAGAATGAACACACAGAATACGAGTCAGGCACTATCACAGCTGTCGAATGAGTCACAGGAAGTTTACGAATAGCTAGTATAACGGCCGTTAATTCCGCTTCAAATATTGGTGCATAATCTGGGAGGCGTAATGAAAATGACCAGAATAATGAGAGAGAAAAAATACCCACACCTGCCTTCTCGCCACTCATAGATGCATCCGTTCCAATTACTGTATTAGTACCTAATTGAGACAGGTGTTGTTCTAATAAACCAATCAAATATTTAGAGGGCAAGTGTTTAGCGTTCATGGGAAAGATATCGTCAAATTCTATTTGCACTTGGCCTGGCAAACTGATCGGAAGATAACCTCGTCTTCTTCTCCCGCTGCGCGTGTTCTTCGTTGTTCTCTTGGTGCTGCATATTCAATGTGGCAATATTACGTTCTGGCTTTCAGAATTCAGCCTGTCCTTAGTTTTGAAAATGAAGTCTGAGGACGAAGCCTCGGCAGCAGAGGTTGCAGTCATGTGTTTGGAGACTTGGCAGCATTGTTTCCCTCATGGCTTACAACCCCATTCACTGCTTTAAGACTCTGTCACCTTAGCTCTAACTAGGATGTCTTTTATGTTCATTTCGCAGTGGTAGACCACTCGTGGCGACTCCGTGAAAATTGAGGATAGACGCGCACTATGCTGTATATTGTTAAAATATTTTGAAAGCATATTGTTGAGGTGCGTAGTGTGGACAAGTATGTGATGACAAGGTTAGTTTGGTTTTTTGAATGGTGTGGTTTTGAGCCCGTCAAATTTTCATTCCTCTCTAAACTACGTGCCTGGCAAGCTAACATTGTCATCACATACTCGTCTTCGACGAGTACAAGCCTTCGAAATCGACAAAATGAAAGAAAATTGTGTGAGTGTGGCTTCCTTAGCTTTGTGGCTAAAGAAAATAAGTATCTAGAATCTTCACTTTGACGTTGGCGAGTGCAGATAGTTGCAATTTATGATGACGCGTGCATGAGGCGTGCTGTATTTTAACATGATATGTTCCATGTTTTATCGGTCTACTGTCACTGTATAAAAAGCATAAGTGATCGCAATCGCAAATAAAAGATTAGACGCAAGTTAGCACCGCTTTTGCGTGCGTCTCTCATTTGTCGCCTGATCGTGGTGCGCTATACTCTTATGAATGGTGAAAGCTTAAAGCGCGAGCTGTTTAACAATGCACCTTTCACCGACAATACCCTTTCACGGGGACCTTCGACGCCAAAACTTTTGTCTGTCTGCCTGTATGTACATTCGTCTGTTTGTCCACTCCTAATTGTTCCGGGTAGTGTAAGCTGCACGAGCCGATATCCCAAACGGCCAACCCCATCCGTAGCGTCCACCAATATAATATGGCTAAAGATTCAGCGTTCATACTTGTGCGATTGTCCACTAAAAATCAATTATTGTGCATATCTGAGGCACCGAAACAAACCTTTATATTTTGTATGTGTGCTTTTTCCTAAAAAATGCATACACAAGTACTTCTAATGACCGTAGCGTTTATCACGCCGCCCTGACCATGCAATGCTTGCACGAAATGGCGAGTGTTTCGACCGCTTTGCTAAGACGAAACGGTGTTGGCACCTACCGATCACGTTACGTTCTACTCTTCATCACCTACCAGATGGCGCGCACGCCCGTCTCAAAGTCACGCACTTAGTTTTTCGAGAAGACTGCCAGATAGCGCTCTTGTCTAACGTGTGACGAGACTTGATGCGCTCGTTCACCACCGCTGCACGCTCGAGGAACACTACCGCAGCGCCTCCAGAAAACCATTCACCATTTTTTTTGTGCAGAACATCAAATAAATGTTTTGTTCCCTTTCCCCACATACAAGACTATCGTCTTTCATCGACATTTGCAGATTAAAATGCAGATTTAAGGTCATTTTTTATTTTTGCTCGACTCGGTAAACTATTAGTTTATGTTTTACCTCACATCAAATAACACTGGTATTATTGATTTATTATGTCCTGATTGATTGATTGATATTTGGGGTTTAACGTCCCGAAACCACCATACGATTAGGAGAGACGCCGTAGTGGAGGGCTCCGGAAATTTCTACCAACTGGAGTTCTTTAACGTGAACTCGAATCTGAGCACACATGCCTACAACATTTCCATCCCCATCAGAAATGCAGCCGCCGCAGCCGGTATTCGAACCTACAACCTGCGGGTCAGCAGCTAATTACTTTAGCCACTAGACCACTGCGGCGTGGCAATTTCTTCTAAATATACGGCTTATTTAGTTTTTCTTTTCAAAAAAAGAAAAAGCACGTGGAACGTGCCAATTACGAACTAGAGGTGCGCTCCTGCATCGCTACTTGAGAGCTTCCAAGCGTTCAAAAGACGATACTGCGTTTGTGTGTCACCGCAGTAAAGAGGACTTCACGCTGTATGAGGCAGCAATGTGTGTTTATGCGCGGTAGTGAAATAGAGTCAGGACCTCTAAAACCATCGAACGCAGCCATGTACCATCAAAGAACAGTGGGAAGCGCTGAAGTAGAGGCGCGTGTCTATTGTGTATTTGACATTAATCACGCGCTTTTGTTTGTTTTTCTCATAAAAAACAACCAGACATGTAACCCAAACAGTAAAATACTAGTTACAGGATAACTCAATTACTTTATTTGTATCTGGGGCTTTACGTAACAAAATCACCATATGATTATGAGAGACGCCGTGGTGGAGGGCTCCAGGAATGGGGACCATCCGATGTTCTGAAGCGTGCGCTGACTTTGCAAAGCAGACAGGCTCTACCATTTCACCTTCGCAGGGTCATTTGAGGTGACGTACAACATAGAATACTTACTTTGAAAATTCAAGCTAGAGTAGGCATTTTGCAAATAAAATATAATGAATAATTTAGGTTAGGTCATTGAAAAATACAGCTTGTGAAGACACCCGACTACCACTGATATAGGCACCCGACAGTGAACCACAGGGCGCAACGAAGCTTTTTGGGCCGCCTAAGCATTGTTGGTACCAACCACCAGGGATACTAAGAAAATCGAACACTCGCTGAACACAGTGACACGCTAAAATGTCAGTGCCCTTTTTGGCACGTTTGCAAAGAACGCTTCGTGGGCGCTTTCATAATTAGTCGTGACCGCTTGCTCACAAATAAAAATTAACATGATATGCTCGTGCAAGTTTGGTTTTGCTGCGTCTACTCGCTAGGCTACGCATTGGAAGACTCGGTTTTGCTGCGCCAACCCGCTAGACTGTGTGTTTTGGTGCTACCATCAGATCTCGTAAACTGCATTTCCGGGTGCCTATAAAACAGGTGAAAGTTTCCTAGAGCACATGTATCTTTTTTTTAATATTGGTCCAAATTATCCGGGGCAGCCGGTTTACCAGAAGGTGCCTTATTTGTAATAACGAATATGTGGTGGTCTCTGAGGTAGGGTTTAATGGTTGCAATCGTTTTTTTCTTTCATTTTACAGCGTAGCAGGTATGCCACTTTTTTTCTGATCACGATGTAGGCAACAACAATCATCATCATGCCACTCACTTCGCCAGCATCGGTCCATGAACAATACCGCTTCACAAATTTTTACGATGGGATTGGGGAGAGATTTGGTACAGAGATGAGAAGAACAAGAGTGAGAAAAAGAAGAGAGATACAGAGAGAGAAATAGACAAGGAGAGAGAAAAATTGCAAAAACGAGGCACCAAAAAAGAAACGGACAAAAAGAAAAAGCAGGAGAAGGGAAAAATCGGAAAGAAACTTTAAAGAGAACTTGAGGAAGTGAATACAGAGAAATGACAATAGAAAGCAGAAGAGCTTCAACGAAAAATGATTAAATGGAAAGAAATCAAACACTCAATCTAACCCTAATGGTATCTTGCCTATTCTTTTAATCTACAATGATTCAACGTGAACATTTCGTGCATAAATACATCGGCAGAAGAATCGGCAGAAAGTTCTAGAGCAGAGTAAGGGAAAGTCCAGGAAGTTGTCATGTTAACAATTGACAAAATCTCTGGGCGTCTCCCGAATTCGTGTTTGCTTATACCGATTACCATAATAAGTGGGAGATAAACAGACCAAGGAACAGTTTTGTCCTTTAACGGGTGTTGCAATGTCTACGCATCAAACAGTGTTTAACTAGGAATGTGCAAGTGTATATAATGAGCGCTTCTTATTTTAAATTTCCAGAAGGTAACAGCATCGTGTTTTTTTATTGGGGAGTGTTACATTGAAAGTTCTCTTTTTACTCGTACTAACAAAAACAATGAATAGAAGAGCAAAATGTTTTTTTTGCATTGTCAAACCACTCTATTTTGTTTCTCTACCCCTTATTACAAATTTATTGTGATCAGGCCTAAAAGCATAGGCCTGTGAATTCACTCAGGTTCACTCAACAAATATAAGCTGTGCTTTAGACTCACTCGGACAAAAACTCATTAACTTTTTCGTGAGCTGAACTCGCTGGGGCTCTCAAGAAAATCGTCTCGCTTGGACTCAAGTTCACTGAAATTATATTCATCGGGACTAACTCAGACTCACTCACGGCTCGATCTCAGTTTGTGAGTCCAAGTGGGTCATCTCATGAGTTCGCCTACCTATGTTTAAAGATACACTTGAATGAATGTTCAAATCATCTTAATTTCTGTATTTTCAGTGTCGTATGAAGTCGGTACTTACCTAAATGGACATCATGCACACTCATGAAGGGCTTTCTAATACTCCCTCGATATTGCGTACAAAGTTTTAATTCGTGCCTCTCGTTACAACGCAGCTACGTTTTCCGAGAGGAAGCTCGGCCTTCCACAAAAGAGGCTGCCTCGCTGTTTCTGATCAAAAAGGTGGAGCGTCAAGATGCTGCACTGTTCACCTGCCACGCCTCGAACTCGTACGGCACTGATAACCTCAACATAAAGCTCATCGTGCAAGGTGAGCGACCCAGGGTGAAGGAGAGCGTCAGCCAAGGAGCTGGACGCTATAAAACAACACATAACTAAAGAGAAGTGAATTTCAAGAAAAATGGTTGTCGGGTTTCTTACTAAAGGGTAAAAGAAAGGAGACGGAAACAGTGCATGACACTGCTTCGTATCGCATAAGACAGCTTACCAAATTATTACTTGCTACCTTCATTTATTTTAAGTACATCAATCACTTTACCATGCACACAAATTATTCTCTCTTCGAAATGTAATTAAATGCACCCCTTGTTACTTCTAGGTGCAGAAATTATAAATTTTAACAAGCCAACAATATTTATCTTTCCTTTCGTATGTGCAAAATATCTTCCAGGTATGAGCGCATGTAAAAATCTAACTAATAACTAAGACTTCCGCTGTCATCAGGAAACATTGTTATTGTAAGATGCCATCAGGGGTAGAATACCACCACCACCACCTTGCCCACATTCATCTCCGAAGCATTGTTGGGTACAGTGGACGGAGTTGTAACAACGAACTCAGACGAGTGCTGGCTCGCAACTAAAGAGTTTCATTTGAAGAACACATCATCCTGAAAGCAATAAAAAATACCAACAGCAATATTACAAAAATATAAAAGCAAACGTGCCGTTAGGTGATACAATTTTTAACGTTCTTTACTGAATTTGAACACTTATGCGCAGTGTTGATTCGTTCAATTTTTCGTGTTTTGTTGCTTTCGCATAGATCTTTATTCCAAGTTCAATGTTATTTCCATGTCGACTATACTAGTTTAAAAAAAGTGTGTACAAATCAATAATCTAGCAGCCACTAAGTCAAAAACTGTCGGAGGGATTCCATACAATATGTGAACGAAAAAAAAGATATACATCCATCAGTGGTTACAATATCTTCGGAGAGAAATAAATTGAGCAGTGTGAAAACAAATACAAAATAAAAAATACTTGGATGTTGAACATACGTATAAAAAAGGAACACTAAAACAATAAAAAATAACAGTACAAAACAGAGAAGAAATATAACACGTACCGAACAAAAAGCAATTGCTAGGATGAAGACAGTTGTTGCTAAAATATTTGTTTAGTCGGTCTTTGAAAGCGTGTTTTGTGCTTGATAATTTATTCATGTAAGAGAGGGAACTCTATAGCATGATTACCATAAACGTGATGGCGAACTTGTTGTTTGTGGGAATCTTATGCAAAAGACGATTATCCACCTCAGAAAACCTAGTAACGTTATTGACGAGGTTATCCACGACAATGCCATAAATATTTCCACGTCCCTTCCACAAGTTTTGTTATCAACCCATAACATTGTAATTATTATATTCAGCGCAAACCACACATCCACTGTTCGAGAAGCTTCGAGACTGCAGTATATAATTTTGTTAGGATTACACCCAATTTGTGAGCAATACAGATCATTCTGGAATCTATGTCGCCGCTAGCGATAACTGTGGATTATTCGATCGCAAAAGTATAGATGCCGACACGCTTCCCCTCTCGTCAGTTGACCGACGGCCGAAGCTCCGTTTGCCGCTATCAGTGCAAGTCCGCCACTGTAATGCAACTTTCCGTTTACTGGGCACAGGTTCGCCCATATAAGCAATTTGATCTGACAATCCAGTCTCCTGCCTTGAGCCACGTTCGACCCCGCGACATCTGGTGGAGGTGCTCCTTTGATCTACCGGATGCCCAGGTCAATTCGTGAGCCCAGCCCACACCACGAAGACACCGATGCAATCCACGAACAGCGAGTTAGCTGTTGGAAACAAGGGTCGTCATTGGAGTATGGGTTTCAACCTGACAAGGATCAGAATAACAAGCTATTGGTGTCTACCACGGCGACAATGACAGCGCCTGTACTACCAGCACGAATACAGCTCTGGTAACCCAAGGAGTTACCCACTTTCCGCGGTTCGCCACTTGAGCTGGCTCGAAAGTTTCGACGGAGTCTCCTTTTTCAATGATTCGACCGAAGATGACAAGCTTCGGCATGTGTATTTTGCTTCTCAAGACGCCACCGGGACGTGGTACCTAAACCAAGAGTCAACCTTGACAGCGTAGGACATTTTACACACCAGCTTCTTGGCCACTTTCACAAGCGTCGTCCACAAAGAGAAGGCAGAAACTCTGCTTTAAACCCGCGTCCAGCTACCCAACTAAAACGCCATGCTCTTCACATAAGAAATGACTAAACACTTCCGCCACGCCAACCCCGAAATGCCAGAAGACAAGAAAGTCCGGTTCATCATGCGAGGAGTTAAACAGGAGATTTTGGCGGGACTGATAGAGAACCCGCCGAACAGCGTCCTAGAATTCGTGTTGAAGGCGACCGGTATCAAAAAGACCCCTGACATGCACACCAGAAAGTACAATCATCACCTGACTTCCGACTGCGCAGCCTTTCAAGCCCTTCAATCCGAAGACTTGCGTGAGACGATCCAAGCGATCGCGCGAAAAAAGCTGTGCAAGCTGTTACCTTCGTCGCAGCCTCAAGTGGATTCGACCGCCGACATTGCACGAGAAAACGTTGGGCAATCACTTCAAATTCCAGAGGCACCGCTGTCAGAGCCAGAAGCTATGAGCTATGCCACTGCAGTGCGCCAGAAAGCTCCTCCGCGTCCACTTCGGGATGCTGCTCCACCACAGTTCCGCCGCCAGACACCGCCGCCACCGCAATCACCGACGCCTTATCAGCCTCCTGTATAGCAGCGCTACGCGCCAAGAAAAATCAAAAATTGGTGCGCCCTTAACAACCGCCCACTCTGCTATCACTGCGGGGAGGCCAGCCACACCAACCTTTGTTGCGAGTACAGAAACATGGGTCTACGAGGTTTCGGCGTCAACGCGCGGTGCCCCCAATGAGGTGAAGGCTCACACGACATCACCGACTACCTTGCAAGATCACAGCGGGCACCCCGACGACCTTACCACTCTCCGTCACCTGACCGGTACACCTCATCTTATCGCAGGAACGCCAGCCCGGCTCGGGGCCGATTTCCAAGTCCTTACCAGAAAAACTAGAGCGGCAACCTATGGAGGTGCAGTGGCTGTGACGAACTACCGAAGAGCCTCCACCGCCTACAACGATGAAGACGCGATGAGGTTTCAAGAGCCTGTTGCCCCCGAACGCAGCTCCGACGTCGATACTTTGCGGCCGTCAGAAGACCTGACGAAGCAGCGTCAAAGATGCGGTACAAACCATCGTAGCCGTTATCCGACGCCACGACCCAATTGAAACGCCAGGCGACGAACGAGCGACCTTGATGCTCTTGTCCCTGGCCACCGCGTCACAACTCTCGTCGACACCGGAGCCGACTATTCCGTCAAATGTGGGCTGTTCGCCGCCAAGCTGAAGAAAGTAAGGACCACCTAGCAAAGCCTCAAGTTTGTACTGCCCGACGTCACCTAATTACGCCGGAAGGAGTTTGCACAGTAAGAGTCACCCTCAATAACAGAACGCATACTGCGAGCTTTATGATTCTACAACATTGCTCCAGAAATGTGGCACTTGGGATAGACTTTTTCACTCACCATGTTGCTATTATCGTACGGAGGTCTAAGTCAGTAACAGTATCTACAGAAAAAGCACTGCAGCTTCACACGCCGTCAGGAAGGCACGCTTTAACTGCGCTAAAAGGCTACGTCACCGTTCCTCCTCGCTACAGGGTCAGCATTTTAATCGGCACTAAGAAATTAAGAGACATACAAGGCATTGTTGAAGGCGACGATTGCCTGTTGATTAGCCGTGAAATTTCCGTCGCTAGAGGAGTAGCCGAAGTTCGAGGAGGGAATGCAAGAGTGATGCTAGCGAACTTCACTAACGAGTACAAGCACGTGAGCAAAGCCATGACGGTTATCTTCATCGAAGAAGTACTGGAGCCAGCAATACTCTCGCCTTCGCTGAGTCTACTGAACCCTCTACGACAACTGAATCTGTTCAGACCGGTTTCGACGTTAATCCAAGCCTTCCGACGCACAAACAGGAAGAGCTAAGAAACCTGCTCCTAAAGTACCAGAACTGTTTTTCGTCGTCGTCAAGAATTCGACAGACCCCTGTCGCGAAACATCGAATCGTAACGAAAGTGCCAAGCCACTCCATCAGATCCCGGACACAATTTCGACGCGAGAACACGATGCCATAAAGGATTTGATTGATATGTGGGGTTTAACGTCCCAAATCCACCATATGATTATGAGAGACGCCGTAGTGGAGGGCTTCGGAAATTTCGACCACCTGGGGTTCTTTAAAGTCCACCCAAATCTGAGCACACGGGCCTGACGCCATTAAGGAACAAGTCGAAGAAACGCTGCGTGACGACATCATCCAGCCGTATTAGAGTTCATAAGCGTCACTGGTGCTTTCAGTGATGAAGAAGAAGAAAAGAACTTTTCGCTTCTGCGTCGACTATCGCCGCCTGAACAAAATCACGATGGAAGTGTACGCGCTCCCGCGGATAGATGACATCTCAGATCTACTCAACAATGCGAGCTACTTTTCTTCGATGAACGTCAAGACCGGCTATTAGCAAATAGAAGTCGACGAGAGAGCCCGAGAAAAGACTGCCCTCACAACACCAGACGTCCTATTCGAGTTTAAGGTCATGCCCATTGACATTGTCTCGGCAGCTGCGGCTTTCCAACGAGTATGGATACCGTCTTTGCTGGCTTCAAGGGACATACTTGCCTCGCTTGCTTTTACGACGTAGTTGTGTTTTCCTCGAGCTTTGACGAACACCTCCAGTACCTTGAATGTGTACTCCAAGCAATCAGGAGTTCTGAGCTAATCCTCAAGCCAGATAAATGCCGCTTCGCGTACAAAGAGCTTCTGTTTTTTGAGTCACGTGACCAGCTAGACTGGAGTGCACCCAGATCCGCACAAAACAGCTGCCATCGCTGTCTTCCCACCACCCACCTACAAGAAGGCCGGGCGCCGATTTCTCGGCTTGTGCGACTATTACAGACGCTTTGTCAAGGACTTTTGAAAAAT